CAAATGTTCTCTATAGGTGAAAGATCTGGACTGCAGGCTGGCCATTTCAGTACCCGGATCCTTCTCCTACGTAGCCATGATGTTGTGATTGCTGCAGAATGTGGTCTGGCATTATCGTGTTGAAAAATGCAGGGTCTTCCCTGAAAGAGATGACGTCTAGATGGGAGCATATGTTGTTAGAACCTGAACATAGTTCTCTGCATTAATGGTGCCTTTCCAGACATGCAAGCTGCCCATGCCACAAGCGCTCATGCAACCCCATACCATCAGTGATGCAGGCTTCTGAACGGAGTGTTGATAACATCTTGGGCTATCCTTGGGCTATCCTTGTCCTCTCTGGTCCGGATGACATGGCGTCCCAGTGTTCCATAAAGAACTTCGAATCGTGACTCATCTGACCACAGAACAGTCTTCCATTTTGCCACACTCCATTTTAAATTACCCCTGGCCTGGAAGTATTCCTGAGCCCATTCTGTTATTTCCTTGACAGTGTCATTCCTGTTTGAGGTGCAGTGACGTTTAAGGGCCCGGAGATCACGAGCATCCAGTAGAGTTTTACGGCCTTGACCCTTACGCACAGCGATTGTTCCAGATTCTCTGAATCTTTTGATGATGTTATGCACGGTTGATGATGATAACTTAAAAATCTTTGCTATTTTATGCTGGGTAACACCATTCTGATATTGCTGCACTATCTCTCTGCGCAACAATGGTGGAGTTGGTGATCCTCTTACCATCTTGTCTTCTGAGAGACAATGACACTCTGAGAAGCTCTTTTTGTACCAATCATGTTGTCAATTGATCTAATTAGTGTTAATTGGTCTTCCAGCTGTTCGTTATATGCTCATTTTCCTTTTTCCAGCCACTTATTGCTGCTTGTCCCAACTTTTTAGGATTTGTTGACACAGTGAAATTTTGAATCAACATATTTTTCCTTTAAAATGTTACATTGACTCAGATTAAACTTTTGATCTGTCATCTATGTTATATTACGAATAAAATATTGACATTTGCCATCTCCACATCATTGCATTCAGTTTTTATTCAAAATTTGTTTAGTGTCCCAACTTTTTTGGAATCCGGTTTGTACTTGATTTAGCATTAATCAATAGTCCTGATTGAAATGTAGAAGCTACACCTCTGCCTCGACTTGTTATTCTACGAACATGAAAATTTTAATAATTAACAGGAGTGGATTTATTTATACTAACAAAATCCTTTTGTTGTAGCCAAGTTTCTGTCAGACAGAATAAATTAATATGATGATCAGTTATCAGTTCATTAACTAACAGGTATTTAGAGGAAAGGGATCTGATTTTCAATACTTCACATTTAATGATTTTATTATTTTGTTCTGGTAAAATAACTGTGTAAATTTTAATAAGATTTTTATGATTTATATTTTTAGAGCAGATTTTTGGTTTATTTGATTTGTTTCGTCACTGTTTCAAATAATCAAGGTGAAAAGTCAGTGAGTTCGGAGCTCTGACAGTTGAGTTTTATTTCATGTTCTTCTTCAGGTGATCGTGTTGTACTTTGCTAAGAGTGCCCAGCTGACGGGACTGAAGGAGGAGCTTGTAGACGTGCCAACACCAATCAGCAGCGAGGACTTGTGGGCGCTGTTGCTACGGAAACATCCGAGGTACAAACAGCTGAGAAAGAGCACAGAGTCTGAACACGTGACACCTGTAAACACCTGTGTGTTTTCAGACTGGTGGCTCTGCAGGGTCAGGTAGTCTTGGCAGTGCGTCAGCAGTACGTTGCCATAGACGACCAGCTGGTGACGCTGGAGGACAGAGACGAGGTTGCCGTGGTTCCACCACTGAGCGGTGGATAGAAGAAAAGTAAGGGCTGTGAGCCAATCACAGATCAGTGTGACATCAGTGAACCAATCAGAATAATGTTTAAAATATTTTTTGGTGGATTTCTTGCAGAGATGTCCGAGGATCACAGAGATGTCATCAAGCTGAGCTGTGATTGGCTGTCTGTGCAGGAAGTGGTGGACTTTGTCAGCAGCTCCTCCTGCGGTGCCATCTCAGTATTTATAGGTTCTTATTGATCATTTATTGTTTATTGAACGCATTGTCAGACTCATTTCTGTATGTGATTCATTCATTATACGCGTGCGCACACACAGATGTGGGCGGAGTCAGCTTGTTAAAGCATCACATGCTGAATCTTTGAAACCAGAGATCTTCTTCAGGTGACTCCATATGGATACCTCTCACTTAAGAGGAACTTCAAACACAAAAAAGGTTTTTATTTAAGTTGACAGTTTAAATTTTTTTTTAAATTTTGCATGGATGACGTCTTCATCCTGTGGGACATAAAGGCACAGACAGTGCTACTAGTTTATCTTCTGGCATCTGTGAAGTTCAGCTGCTGACAGATAAAACAGTACCAGAACCAGTTCCACTGCTTCCTGTCAGACTCACCTGGCACCAAGTTGTCAAGTTCACCTGATTCAGTTTTAGACCTTGTGAGGACAGTTGTAGGCAATGTTCCCTCTAAGCCAGGGGTGTCAAACTCACTTACAGAAGGGGGCCGAAATTGAAACCTTTTTCAAAACTACGATGACGGTACGGGACAATTTCAGAATCTACATTAACTCAAGTTATCCAACATCTTTTCTTGGTCACAGGTTCCTCAACAAGAGTTTGATTGGTCTCATTTGATGTTCTCTGTTGTGCTTTCGACATCATAATCAAAGATTACTGAAAAAATTCTGGAGATAGAAGTATTTTATGTTTGACATATCATCTTGAGGGCCAGATAAGATGTCAACGAGGGCCACATTTGGCCCCCGGGCCTTGATGTTTGACACATATGCTCTAAGCTATGCGCCTGCGCAATCGCGCACTGCTCACACATTCTCTGCGCACAAGAAAATCTATGCTGCGCAGTTGGAGACTGGCCACAAGGTTATTTCCCATTTTATAATAAACTGTCAGCCTGAGCGCAGCCGTCTGTACAGTGCATCCGCCTGATGCTTGCAGAGTGGAGGATGGAGACCCCCCCCCCCCCCCCATCAAAACAGACCTGTGTCACGTGATTTGTGTAGCGACAACGGAAGTTTACGAAGAGCTAAAAAATTCAACCAATGAAGTCACAGGCAAACTTTCATTCCAGCCAATAAGTATCTTCTAGAGTTTCAGTTCTAAGTGCGAGCTAAGTTCAAAGAAGCTACATAGCTACAAGCAACCTTGACTTTTAGGTCTTTTTTAAGCTTTGTTACTGTAGTGAACTTGACCTGATGTCAAAACTTGACCTTAGGATCATATGGTCAGAAACTGTCATTTCATTGATTTGCATCCAGAGATACAGGTTGACCCATCCTGAGACTTTCTTTCTTGAATTAATCAAGTGGAAAAAGACAATTCTCTATGATCATTACTATTTTACAAATGTTTTGATAATCAAATTGTGTTAGTTCAAACAATGTTTACATGTTGAAGTGAACTACTCATTTTTATTTACTTAAAACAGTAATAATGATTTTTAATCCTCATTCAAAGAAGAAATCAGGTTAATATGCATTTCTTGATTTTCTGTCTTCAATGAGCGAAGTTGTAAGTGTGTCGAAGTTCAAGTTTCGGTCAACTGAAAGTTTAATGAAAAGAAATGTCATGTTTAACTTTTACAGCAAGATACTAGGAGAGGTGGCTCCGAAGTCTGAATTCTCCATAACAATCTTTCTGTCTGTTCTTAAACAATCTTAATCTTTTTCCTTGACTTTTCATAACACCTTACATCACAAAACACACCTCTGTTGGGGTCCATCGACCAATCAGAGGCTCTCAAATGAACCGGAAGTAGAGCCCATTTAAATGTTGGCACTTCCTAGTTCAAGCAGAGAGTTTTTGGAGTTCCAGAATGCAGAACGCTGGAATTCAGGATGCTGCTGAAAGAGAATCAAGCTGAACCAGAGACGATTTGGGAATTATAACTTCTGTTTGGATAACCTCACGACTCCAGGGGTTTTTAGCTGTTCTCACGGAGACGCTGAAAGAGTTGAAAGGAGAGCTCTACACCAACGCTGAACTATCTTCTGCAAGGTAAAAAGTTCTATCTCAACCAAGCGTACCGTTGGCCCAAGCTGATTTCCAAGGAGCGTGCATGTTCTGGTTAAAACAGACAAATTCCCTCACACATCTCTCTGTAGATAAACCTCATCTTTCCATCTTTAAACTCTCCTATCTGCTAGCAAATTAATCCAGATGTTTTCAGAAATGTCTGTGGTGAAGCAACGGAAAATCATGGCCGTATGGTTTTCCTGGTTGTAAAGCTGATTAATTATGTCGTTATTTTTCAGTTCTTGCCAATTAATGTAAATGTGTGATGTGTTAAACTTGATTCTGTTAATAAATGACCCACTCGTTTGGTGAGTCAAAGATAATTAACGTCTCACGTCCACATTTTATTAAATTCAATGCACGTATGTTATACAGTCCAGAAAAATGAAAGAACCCGTTTAATTGATGAATATATAGGAATGAGATCATCAGAGGTACAGCACAGGATGAATAACTGGGAGATAAAGTTAGGGAGGACAGACTGAGAAGGTTTGGACATGTCCAGAGGAGGGACAGTGGGTATATTGGTAGAAGGATGTTAGAAATGCAGCTTCCAGGAAAAAGACAAAGAGGAGATCTATGGATGCAGTTAGAGAGGACATGAAGGTGGTTGGAGTGAGGACAGAGTGAGATGGAGGATGGTGACTCACTGTGGAGACCCCTGAAGAGGGAAAAGCCGAAAGAAGAAGTTTATTAGGTTGTGTAATGTAAAATTTACTCTTAAATACTGGATTTCACTGTGAGTTCTTGCTCTGTGTTGATCTGCAGCATGAAAACATCTACTGCAGTAACTTATTTTAAGTTATTAGCAGATTAGTTTTTTTTTCTTTCTTCTTTGCCTTGATGTTGGCTGATAAGACAGAAATGCTTCACTAAATGCTTCAGGTAACACCAGGAGCTTCACTACCTCCACCATTATGGTTATCTTTGTTTGTTCGATGTTAGGTCACCCTGTGTTACATTTCCTCATGGGCGAAGCAATCTTACCGTTCACGTAAAATATTTGATAATGTTCTTATAGAAACAATTCCTACTGTGTTAATGTTACATGTTTGTCTCTTGACCCTACAACTGGTTAGTAGGAGAGATCATTTCTCTCCAGTTTTAGTTTCTCTCCATTGGCTCCCTGTCAAATCCAGAATAGAATTCAAAATCTTACTTCTAACCTACAAAGCTCTCAACAACCTAGCTCCATCTTATATTACAGCTCTTATTGTTACATATTTTCCTAACAGAGCACTTCACTCTCAGACTGCAGGTTTACTTGTGGTTCCTAGAGTTTCCAAAAGCAGAATGGGAGACAGATCTTTCAGTTATCAGGCTCCTCCTTTGTGGAACCAACTTCCAGTTTCTGTCCATGAGACTGACACATTATCCAGTTTTAAAACTGGGCTTAAGACTTTCCTTTTTGATAAATCCTATAGTTAAGGTCGGCTTGTCATGCTGTCTTAAGCTTAGACTATTAGAGGACAAATTGACCTCATTTCCTTAAATTGTTAAAACTGAATAGTTTTCATTTGATACTATTTCTATCTTAACATGTGCTTATCGACCTGCCATTGTGTATCTGTTCCTCCTTCCTGTTCCTCTCAAACCCAGCCAGTCGAAGCAGATGGCCGCTTGTCCTGAGCCTGGTTCTGCTAAAGGTTTCTTCCTCATGAGGGAGTTTTTCTTTCCACTGTCGCCTTCATGCTTGCTCAAGATGAGAGTTCTGTGATGGAGTTAAACTCAAAGCAGTCTGCTCCTCAGATAAATAATGCTAATTATTATTTTTATATAAGAATGTTTCTGTTCAGTGCCCCGAGATTACTTCTGTTGTGACTTGGTGCCAAATAACTAAACTTAATTGAACTGAATTGAAATTTAATTGGGGGTCCTCCCCCAGACAATTTTAAATAAAGTAGATGCCATTTCCTGCATTCTGGTGTATTTTAACAGGCTGTTTAACATTTAGTTTTGCCTAAATAAGTAACACTTGATTCAATATCTATTATAGAGTTAATGGCACAACAAGAAGTAGTCTGACCAACAGCTCTCCTTGTGTGAATAGAGCACGCTCCACTTCTCTCATGCATCCTAGCCATCTTCCAGAGCAGGACCCTCACCCAAACCAATGCAGGACTCTCACATATAACATACTACACATCTCACGAACAATAAGATTATTGTCTTTTTCATTTGAAGTGGGCCAGGTCACTTATATTAAAAGTAAACTAATGGAAATTGCTGCTGTAATTAGTTTATTTAAATAGGCCATGTAACTGGCTATGATCCCAGGTTTTGAACAGTTGTGATACTGGTGTGTGACCACAGCGTGCACATCTGATGTTGCTCACAGTGGCCCTCAGTGTGCTCTTGGAGCTTGTGTGTTTGCCCAGACACATGAAAAATTAGAGGGAACATTGGTTGTAGACCTTGTGAGGACAGTTTTAGACCTTTTTAGAACAGTTTTAGACCTTGTGAGGACAGTTTTAGACCCTTTTAGAACAGTTTTAGACCTTGTGAGGACAGTTTTAGACCCTTTTAGAACAGTTTTAGACCTTGTGAGGACAGTTTTAGACCTTTTTAGAACAGTTTTAGACCTTGTGTGGACAGTTTTAGATCCTTTTAGAACAGTTTTAGACCTTGTGAGGACAGTTTTAGAAGCTGTTTTGACACTTCTGAACAGAGTAATCATTCAGATTTGATGTCCTCAGGTACAACTCGGGAGGACCAGGTGGACGGCAGGAAGGTGATCGGTCTGGAGTATGAGGCCTATGAGTCCATGGTACAATCAGAGTTCTCCAAGCTGTGTGAGGACATCAGAACTCGCTGGCCAAGCGTGACTTGTGTCTGCGTCCACCACCGACTTGGGTGAGAGGTCACCTGTGATGTCACTCTTAAAGCTGCAGCACCACACTCAGCAGGAACTCACCTGCCAGTTTCCTCCCTCAGGTGGGTGAAGGTGGGCGAGGCCAGCATCGTCGTGGCGATTTCGTCCCCTCACCGCCACGATGGACAGCTGGCGATCCAGCATTGCGTCAGTCAGCTGAAAGCCACCATCCCCATCTGGAAGAAGGTAGGAGGACCGGTTTGGTCTGAACCATTGGTCTGATCAACACAGATTACTGACTGATCTGATGATTGACGGATCGGCTGTGATTGACAGGAGGTGTACGACACGCAGGAGGCGAGCTGGAAGGAGAACTCTGAGTGTTCTTGGTCTCGGGGTCCAGATGAAAGCAGCTTGGAGTTTCAGAGCCTGAAATAAAACCTGTTTGGTCTGAAAACTGTAGTTTGTATCAAACTGGGTCTGCAAGTAAAATCCACTGAACACCTGACTCTAAGTGACCAATCAGGACCGTCCAACAAACAAACCTGCATCCCGGGTTTGAAGGAAACCTCCAGTCCTCAGTCTCTTAGGATGCATTCACATCAGCCCTGTTTAGTCCGCTTTAATCGAACTCTAGCTCATTTTCCTAGAAAGTCCGGCTCGTTTAGGGAGGTGTGAACGCACCATCGAACTCTGTCACGGAACAAAAATGCGAACTCTGGCCCGGGCTAAAACCTAGATCTCGGTCCGGTAGAAGAGAACTCCAGCGCGGTTCGAGTGCAGTGTGAATGGAAACAGACCAGACCCGCTCCACAGGGTAAACAAACACGCATTTCTCTGACCTTATATGGAGCCGTCAGCTGCCTTGTGTGAAAAACAATATTCTCCATGGTCTTCTGTCTCATCTTCTGCTCATGCTAAGTCCATTTTTGAAAAATGACAAAATATAACTCCTAAAACTGCTAAAACTTGATGCCACTTCGTTTTCATTTTTATTTACAGAAGAAGAAGACGTGTCTTCAGGGGTTTTGTGTGGTTTCTTTCAGTAGTTCTTGGTGCAGCGCCCCCACAGGCGAGCGGGGGAACAGGTTGGTTCAACAGGTTGACTCGACTGCACAGTGCAGTGTGAATGCAAACTCACCAGCTCAAATATAAACAAAAGGTCATGAATATTGGTCCCAAACCGAACCCAGTCTATCGGACTATCTAGTGTGAAAACGACCTTAAATTTACTCTAAAGTTTATTTTTAACTTTCTGTCAGCAACTTGAAAGAAAAAAAAATGCTGAAAGGATTCAGATGTTTTATTGTATTTTAATTTTTTACAGAATTACAGTTTTTATTTGACCCCATTAAACTTCAGATTAAAAATGATCCTGAAGGAAAGATGGCGGCGGCACTTTAGGTTGTGTTTTTGCTGTGCTCCCGTCATACTTTCCTGAAGATATTCTCGCCTCCTCTGCGTTGGATGCTCTAGGAGTCGGCATTTGTCGTAGGATTGACTCGGCAGAGCTGAAAAATGGCATCGAAATGAAAATAAATGTAAGAATACAGGTTCTGCGACCACTGGGCCTGACACTGCCTTGAGCCACTGTGCTTCTAGAACCAGGGAATCGTCTCCGCCCTCACCAGGCTCCAGAGATACCCGACAGGTGGGCCCTGAAGTTGGACATTTTGGCTTCAATAAAAACAGAAATTTCGGCGATAATTACATCGGAGATGAAGGCTGCTCTGGCAGAGGATCTCGCCTTTATTAAGGGTCAACTTCAAGTGGTGAGAGCGGAGGTCGCTAACAGCGTCACGGATTCAGAGCAGAAATTGACCAGGTGAGACTCAAAGATGTTGAAGACGGCTCTCCAACTGGCCAATTCAGTTTATTTATAAGATAGAACTGTATTGATCCTGCAGGAAACTGTCGTGCCAGAGTTTCAGTACAAAGGAACAAACGCAAGGAATCACACAAGATATAAAAAATAACAAAATATATAAAAAATAATATAAAAATACCAACAATAACAGGTCAGGTGGAGACCTGTGAAATGTTTTAATGTGAAAACAAAGTGTTTATTGTGGTGCAGATTTAATTTTATTGTCCTACGTGTAGAAAGGGGGAGGAGTTGAAAAGTTTGAAGGACTTCCTGTGTTCTGTGGAGCACCTCGGTGGTCTCAGTCTACGACTGAAGGTGCTGAGGTAAGAGTCCAAGGTGTCATGCAGGGGGTGTGACGTGTTGTTCAGGAGCTGGAGCAGTTTCCTCAGCATCTTCTGCTCAGAAACCACTGTCAGAGACTGCAGGTCCACTCCCAGAACTGGGCCAGCTCTCTTGATGAGTTGATCGAGTCTTAATGTATCACCAAGTAGTCACAACCGAAGTCATCTCTCTGGGCACTGAGATGAAGTTGAAGCTCTGCACAGCACCATGAGGGAACTGAAGAAGCAACACGAGGCCGTGGAGGGGCCTCCATATGAGAAGGTGCAACTTGTGGATTCGGCGTCCCTGAAGCGCCGGAGTCATTCTCCACCACAGCGGTAGCTAAGATGCTAACAGATGCTGCAGCTGAGCAAACCACTTCTGATCGAAAGCTCACATCAGATGCTGGGCGGGATGAAGTCAGGCAATAAGCCGAGAGTTATTGTAGCTCAACTGCACTATGAAGACGAAATATTACAACATGTGCACAGTTGTGGTCTGCTCCACTTCAAGGAATCACGGATCATCATAACAGCAGATTATACACCGAGCCATTATGGTTGTCAAGCCGATACAATTTACAGCCTCGAGTGTACGTACTGATACTGCCGAGCGGTATGCTATAGTGGTGGGGAGTTATACACACTCCCAGTGGGCTTGGTTTCGGTATATGCACCAAACTGGAATGACTTCACAGTTTTTAACAACCTCTTTTCAAACACACTGAATTTATCAACATACGTTATGTTGGTGACACAAATTGTGTGCCTTCATCTCTTGACCATAGTTCGATGGGGAAAACTATCCTGACTACCAGTAAGTTCACTCAATCAACTCATTCCTTTAATCTTATGGCGTGGATGATGTGTGGCATTTCCATAGTCCTACTTCAAGATCATACTCATTCTTTCCCCGGTTCATTATAGATATGCTACCGAATTGACTACTTCCTTGATAAGATAAACAGATTCTGCCTTTACATGCTTAGAGGTTGTGTCTACAGTGCCTTGCGAAAGTATTCGCCCCCCTTGAACTTTTCAACCTTTTGCCACATTTCAAGCTTCAAACATGAAGATATAAAATTTAATTTTTTTGTGAAGAATCAACAACAAGTGGGACACAATTGTGAAGTAGAATGAAATGTATTGGATGTGTCAAACTTTTTTTAACAAATAAAAAACTGAAAAGTGGGACATGCAATATTATTGGGCCCCTTTACTTTCAGTGCAGCAAACTCACTCCAGAAGTTCAGTGAGGATCTATGAATGATCCAATGTTGTCCCAAATGACTGATGATGATAAATAGAATCCACCTGTGTGTAATCAAGTCTCCGTATAAATGCACCTGCTCTGTGATAGTCTCAGGGTTCTGTTCAAAGCGCAGAGAGCATAATGAAGACCAAGGAACACACCAGGCAGGTCTGAGATACTGTTGTGGAGAAGTTTAAAGCCGGATTTGGATACAAAAAGATTTCTCAAGCTTTAAGCATCCCAAGGAGCTCTGTGCAAGCAATCATATTGAAATGGAAGAAGTATCAGACCACTGCAAATCTACCAAGACCCGGCCGTCCCTCTAAACTTTCATCTGGAACAAGGAGAAGACTGATCAGAGATGCAGCCAAGAGGCCCATGATCATATGGATGAACTGCAGAGATCTACAGCTGAGGTGGGAGAGTCTGTCCATAGGACAACAATCAGTCGTACACTGCACAAATCTGGACTTTATGGAAGAGTGGCAAGAAGAAAGCCATTTCTCAAAGATATCCATAAAAAGTGTTGTTTAAAGTTTGTCACAAGCACCTGGGAGACACCAAACATGTGGAAGAAGGTGCTCTGGTCACATGAAACCAAAATCCAACTGTATGGCCACAATGCAAAACGATACGTTTGGTGTAAAAGCAACACAGCTCATCACCCTGAACACACCATCCCCACTGTCAAACATGGTGGTGGCAACATCATGGTTTGGGCCTGCTTTTCATCAGCAGGGACAGGGAAAATGGTTAGAATTGATGGGAAGATGGATGGGGTCAAATACAGGACCATTCTGGAAGAAAACCTGTTTGAGTCTGTAAGAGACCTGAGACTGGGACGGAGATTTATCTTCCAACAAGACAACGATCCAAAACATAAAGACAAATCTACAATGGAATGGTTCACAAATAAACGTATCCAGGTGTTGGAATGGCCAAGTCAAAGTCCAGACCTGAATCCAATCGAGAATCTGTGGAAAGAGCTGAAGACTGCTGTTCACAAACGCTCTCCATCCAACCTCACTGAGCTCGAGCTGTTTTGCAGGAAGAATGGGCAAGAATTTCAGTCTCCATGTGTAAAACTGATAGAGACAAACCCCAAGAGACTTGCAGCTGGAACTGCAGCAAAAGGCGGCGCTACAAAGTATTAACACAAGGGGGCCGAATAATATTGCACGCCCCACTTTTCAGATTATTTGTTAAAAAAGTTTGACACATCCAATAAATTTCATTCCACTTCACGATTGTGTCCCACTTGTTGTTGATTCTTCACAAAAAATTAAAATTTTATATCTTTACGTTTGAAGCCTGAAATGTGGCAAAAGGTTGAAAAGTTCAAGGGGGCTGAATACTTTCGCAAGGCACTGTACGTGCTCAGAGGTCAGGTCTAGGTGCTGACCTAGGAGCGGACCTCTGAGCTCCTAAACATGACCTCTGATCATGTAGACCTGACCTCTTAACACACAGGTCTGACCTCTGAGCACGTAGACACGACCCCTGAGTTTGATGATCTGATGAACTGATCTGCAAGCCTTTGATGTTTCTGCAAGCATCAAAGGACACCAGGTTAAAATCCAATCATCTAACAGGGACTGTGTCTCTGGGCTTTGTCCTCAGATGGATTCAGCTGCTCTTTTTTAATCAGGAGAATACAGTCTTTCTTCAGACATGACCTCAAATCCCAGAAATGTTTCTCATGAAATTTCCTGTGTCCAGTCACTGTCTTCTGTTCTAAACTGTCATTTTTATTTACAGGTGCTGGTCATAAAATTAGAAAATCATGAAAAAGTAGATTTGTTTCAGTAATTCCATCCAAAAAGTGAAACGTGTATATTATATTCATTCATTACACACAGACTGATATATTTCAAATGTTTATTTCTTTTAATGTTGATCCATTCAGTATCTCGGAAAATTAGAATATTACTTAAGACCAATAGAAATGTTGGCCAACTGAAAAGTATGAACATGAAAAGTATGAGCATGTACAGCATCAATACTTAGTTGGGTGCTCCTTTTGCCTGGATTACTGCAGCAATGCAGCGTGGCATGGAGTCGATCAGTCTGTGACACTGCTCAGGTGTTATGAGCCCAGGTTGCTCTGATAGTGACCTTCAGCTCTTCTGAATTGTTGGGTCTGATGTATCACATCTTCCTCTTCACATTACCTCATAAATTTTCTATGGGGTTAAGGGCAGACAAGTTTGTTGGCCAATTAAGAACAGGGATATCATGGTCCTTAAACCAGGTACTGGTAGCTTTGGCACTGTGTGCAGGTGCCAAGTCCTGTTGGAAAATGAAATCTGCATCTCCATAAAGTTGTTCAGCAGCAGGAAGCAGGAAGTTCTCTAGAACTTCCTTGTAGATGGCTGTGTTGACCTTGGACATCAGAAAACACAATGGACCAGCACCAGCAGATGACATGGCACCCCAAACCATCGCTGACTTGAAACTTTACACTGGACCTCAAGCAACATGGATTCTGTGCCTCTCCTCTCTTCCTTCAGACTCTGGACCTTGATTTCCAAAGGAAATGCTAAACTTACTTTCATCAGAGAACATAACTTTGGACCACTCAGCAACAGTCCCAGGCGAAACACTTCTGACAGTGTCTCTTGTTCAAGAGTGTCTTGACACAAGGAAAGTGACAGCTGAACTCCTTGTCTTGCACAAGTCTGTGTGGTGGTTCTTGAAGCATTGACTCCAGCTGCAGTCCACTCTTTGTGAATCTCCCCCACATTATGGAATGGGTTTTGTTTCACCATCCTCTGCAGGGTGCAGTTATCCCTATTGCTTTTACACTTTTTTCTACCACATCTTTTCTTTTCCTTCGCCTCTCTATTAATGTGCTTGGACACAGAGCTCTATGAACAGCCAGCCTCTTTAGCAATGACCTTTTGTGTCTTGCCCTCCTTGTGCAAGGTGTCAATGGTCGTCTTTTGGACAACTGTCAAGTCAGCAGTCTTCCCCATGATTGTGTAGCTACAGAACTAGACTGAGACCATTTAAAGGCCTTTGCAGGTGTTTTGAGTTAATTAGCTGATTAGACTGTGGCACCAGGTGTCTTCAATATTGAACCTTTTCACTATATTTTAATTTTCTGAGCTACTGAATTTGGGGTTTTCATTAGCTGTTGGTTATAATCATCAACATTAAAAACAATAAACATTTTAAGTCTGTGTGCCATGAATGAATATAATACACAAGTTTCACTTTTTGAAATCAGCTTTTTCATGACATTCTAATTTTATGACCAGCACCTGTATGAATGAACTGAAACAAAGAAAAACCTCCAAAGTTCTTTAAAAGCTGCTCCCTACCTGAACCCATTGGATCCGGACTGTCAGAGAACCGGACCTCAGCGGGCTGAGCCGTCTGAAGAGGATGCTCAAGTCCCAGAGACGTCAAACACCAAACTGCTGCTTTAGATATCTGACACCGGGTGTCTTGGCCCAGAACCAGACCCTGAATGTACGCTCCACGTCCAGTGGTTCTGAACAGAATTCACTTTAAATCAATATAACGTTCATTACTAACTTGTAATAAAGTAGAAACATTTATTATATTTTATTTCACTTCATTCTTGAACAACATGTAATAAGTTAAAAATGTCTGAAAGACTTACTGTTTTTATCTCTACGTTTAGAGTCAGTTGGTTACAATTAAATGAGAGCATGATCCTTTAAAAGCACATCTGGTACCAAAGCTTTACATCTACAAAAACAAGTTCCAGTCGTTTCCAGGAGGCGGCAGGGTGTTTCTGCGACCTGGTGGGTTGTTGGTGTCATTTGTCTCAGAGCTTCCAGGCGTTTCTCATCATGAGGATGAAGTAGACGTCGCTGTCGATGGAGGCGCTGACCCCGCTGTAGTAGTTGATGAACTCCTCTTTGGTCACCTGTTGATCACAGCAGAGGAAGAGGAGGTCAGCTGGACTCTTCACACTTGGTTTCTGGCCAAATCCTCAAGAACGCTGTCAGATTTAGAAACAGCTCCTCTGGATTTAATTTGTTGAAATAATTCAAGAAGACACGAGTGAGGTTCAAACGTTCAGCTGGGAGCTCAGGTCAGGTTTGAGTGGACTAACATTTATTAGTCATTACTGTTTCTGTTCCTAAAAGCTGCAGACTGGAGTTTAAAATGTAAATTTGAGTTTCCGTTTGTTTCTTCATTCTCTGCTGAACACAAATCCTCCGTCAGACTCAACACAGTTCATGATTTGATCAGAGAAAAACAGGAAATTAAAGGATGCTCAGGTTTCTGACGGAGCCATGAACAATTCAGGTTGTAAATGGTAAATGGACTGTACTTATACAGCTCCTTTCTAACTTATCAAGATACTCAAAGCTCTTTATACAACAATCTGTGCCCTCATTTACCCATTCATACAGCACTCTACTAGATCTGTAGGTTGTGTACAAAAACATTAAATAAAATCTCTAAATTAATCAAATAAGCCTGAATCATTTAAATACAGTTTGAACAGAAATAAAGGAAGGTTTATTTATTTAATTTGTTTTTTGATCCATTGACACCTGGTCTTCAGGCTGGACATGAACAGGTAAACTCACCTGCAGGAAAGAAAACAAACGTTGAATGAAACAAGTTTAAAATGGTCTCAGTATACTTTACATTCATGTGCAGCTCAGTTTTGTATTTCAGTGAAAACTCCACTAACATGATCTAAAGTTAGCAGAGCCTGTGCTGAGACGAGCAGGTTTATAAAGTTCAGTGAATCACAGACTCTCTGCGTTGCTTCATTTTAGTTCAGGAGAGTCCAGACGCTGAAAGAAAATAAGACTGACGTCTCTACAAAGGTCAGACAGAATCAAGAGAAACTTTAAAACATCTCTGAGTTCAGTATTCTGTCTGGTTCTGGTCCAAACCTCACTTTTTTACAACCAAACCATAAAGAACACTGAGGAGCTGTAGCAGAACCACACGGACTCAGAGGCAGTTCTCATCCACCCAATGGGTGGAGGAAAACACCAGACCAGGAACTCCTCCAGAGTCTGGAGGAGTTCCCTTCGGAGAGGAGCCCAGAGCCTAACAGGTCTACAGGAAACCACCGGCTTTTTGAAGAGACTTAACACCCGTCAGACCCCAGTCCTCAGGTACCTTTCCATCTTTGTCGTACGGAGAGTCGAAGCTGTCCAGGAAAGTCCTGAACACCTGGTCCTCTGTCCACTCCCCATTCTGATACTTGGGGTGGTACTTGGCGTTGTAGACCCCCTGCAAGTCCTCAATGGTGATCACACCATCTCCGGTCTTGTCCAGCTTCCGAAAGGCCTCCATGACCACCTCCTTCCGGGCTTTGGACATCGGTGGCTGCAGGGAACAGAAGCAAAAGGTACCAGACAGATTTAAGGTTGGATGAAATCAGGGTGATCTGTTGTTGGCATTCTTCAGCCCGACTATAAAAGTTCTTCAAAGTCATTTTTTTCGGCTTAAAAGAAGTCGTTCTGCCGTTTGGTTTACCCTCAGAGTGACGAGAAACTCATCAAAGTCGATGGATCCGCTCCCATCATGGTCAAAGAGTTGAAACAGAGCAGCAGCCTCATCTTTCTCCATCATCAGCCCGTAGTCGTTCAAACCCTTCAGGAACTCCTTGAAGTCCAGGGATCGGTTCTCATTATCATCCATGATTCTGAAGGTTCTGACAACAGAAACACACCTCAGGTCAGATTAAGTTCACTTCCTGCGAGCCGAAAGACGGCAGCTCTTCCGGCTTCTCTGCAGTCCTATAACATCAAACTGACCCGTTTTCGCACTGGACTAAAAGTCGGTCCCTCTTCCAACCGAATTCGGTGTTCGGTGGACTCAGAGTGCCGAATCGGGACAGTCCAAAAATTATTATTGGTCCAGGACCGCCCACTTCCACCCAATCGGTCACCCCGAGCACAGCCTGCCAGCCAGGTGCCCCCTCGAGCTGGGGAGTCGTTGTCCGAATGTCCAGCATTGTTTTTTTCTTTCTCAGGACTCCAACCAAACTTTTCATCCAGACCTCTGTGGTTCTGATTGGTTCCAATCAGGATTGTTGTGTGGTATTGGGTATTGCGCCGGCTTTCTGTTTGGACCGGCTCCTCATGAGTGTCCACTGTCAGCCGTGGGGGAAGTTGACCCGAATAGGACCAGAACCGAGCCGGGCTGTGGGGAAACTCAACCTGAACAGAGCCATCTCAGCCTCAGCGGACAGCCAGATACCTTTCATCGAAGGACCGTCCATCTCCGCTTCTACCAGACCAAGACCTAGGTTTTAGCCCGGGCCAGAGTTCGCCTTTTTGTTCCGTGACAGAGTTCGATGGCGCGTTCACACCTCCCTAAACGAACCGGACTTTCTAGGAAAACGAACTAGAGTTTGATTAAAGCGGACTAAACAGGGCTGGTGTGAATGCACCCTAAGCGCGGTTCGAGTACAGTGTGAATGTAAACAGACTGGGCCCGGCTCCGCAGCGTAAACAAACACGCATTTCTCTGACCTTATATGGAGCCGTCAGCTGCCTTGTGTGGAAAAACAATATTCTCCATGGTCTTCTGTCTCATCATCTGCTCATGCTAAGTGCATTTTTGAAAAATGACAAAATATAACTCCTAAAACTGCTAAAACTTGATGCCACTTCGTTTTTATTTTTATTTACAGAAGAAGAAAAAGAAGACGTGTCTTCAGAGGTTTTTGTGTGGTTTCTTTCAGTAGTTCTTGGTGCAGTGCCCCCACAGGTGAGTGGGGGAATAGGTTGGTTCAACAGGTTGGCTTGACTGCACAGTGCAGTGTGAATGCAAACGCACCACCTCAAATGTAAACAAAAGGTTATGAATATTGGTCCCGAACCGAACCGAGTCTACCGGACTATCTGGTGTGAAAATGTGGAAAATAAATAATTGTTCTAAACTTAAAAAACTCTTAAAAGAA